CAGCAAAGAATGGTATCAATGATGTAGAAGTCATCCACATATAAGATGAAAATAATGAGAGTATTAAAATATTGCTAAAAGTACACATTTGAGCGAGAAGTGGTTTTATAAAGGCTCCAACCATTTTTATGTTATAACATGATTATATAATGAAAATATAATCAAAAATAAAATTCTAATTAATATCTAATCATCTTTATTCAATAATATTTTCAGAAATTTAGACATGGCTTTTATAAAAGCCTCTTAGTTTATTTTTTTGTCTTAATAGCTAGTAGATTAAAGGTTGGTTAATAATTTTATCTTCTAGGCTATAGAAATTCTTTTACTACCTTAAAAAGGCCATAAATTGATATAAAAATATAATAGAAGAAATAAATAACTAATATGATTGACACTTGGATTGAATTGAAGATAAGATTGAGCTAAAAAAATCCTTAGGATAGGTTAGATTGATATCCAAGGATTGATTTTTTGTGGGATAGGATCTAAATCAGACTTCTAGCTACTAAAGTGGCTGCCTAAGAGAAAGTATGGAGACATTTGGAGATTAGCAATTGGAATTAGAGAGCTAGCTTTAAGCTAATTACAAAGTTTAAGGCTTATTTTCATAAGAATTGGAATGACTTTGCAATTGTTCTTCAAAGTCAAGATTTGTATTGGTGATTTTGAATTTATGCAATACAATTAGAGCTAGCACTCTTAATTAATTTATGCAATTGGTATCACATCTACAATTTAAAAATTAAAAATTCTTAGTTAATTTGATATACTAAGTATACATAATTTTTTTTATTAATCTAACAATGTGATTGAGAGATATGTAGAAGATTTTTGATAGAAAAGGATATCAAAAGTTGGTAGTTTGAGGTCAAGTTGGATTTCTATGATATCTAAAGTTCTACTAGTTGGAATAAGGTGAAATTTGGCATAGTATTAGAAGACTTGAAGATCAAGTTAGAAACCAATTTTGAGCTAAAGTTAATGGTTGGAGAAGGAGAAATTGCTAATAGAACATCTGTATCAACTTTTGAGTTGGTAGTTGAATGACATTAGTGTGATTTTTTAGATATCTTCTTACAATTTGTAAATTATATTGGGCTGATTTTTTTAAGAATATAAAAGACTTATAGTGGCATTTGTATGCAAAATTTTATATCAAGTGGATGGTCAGATTAGGAGTTACAGCTTATTGAAGCCCACTGATTAAGATTAAGGATTGCAAAGAAAAATCAAAATTGCCCAATTATAAAAGTAATAAGGCAATTAGAGTTTGTATATGGTTGAGGTTATCAAGAAGAGTGTTTTTGAGCACTTTGTATTGACTTTAAACTCTTTTGAATTGAAATCTATTAAGGTTAAGCATTCTTTTTATATGAGTGAAATCTATTAGGATTTCTTAGATACTTGTAAAATACAACTTCACCTTCTACAAGCAGGTGCTCAGTGCATTCATAAATAAAACAACATATAATACGACACTATAGAATTTGAAGTTGATTTTTGTGTATTATATTTGAAGGCTTTAGCACAAATTATAAAGTGATTTCTTCAATCAACATACTAAGTATTTAATATATAGATATATATAATCAAAGAATTATTCTATAAAAATTAATTCTTATAAATGTTTGTTGATAAAGGTCGTAGATACATCCATGTGGCAGATGTATGAATTGTAGTGTATAGCAATGAGTTGGATGGATTTCCAATAAATAATAGAATTGAAATTTTCTTGGAAGTTAATTCAATGGACTTGTTGAAATTTCCTTGCAATAATATGGATTTTATATTGGATTGGTTCACTATAGTGAAATAATTTGAGCTTGTAAATCTATTAGACCATGATGGAACAAATTCCAACAAGAAAAGATACAAGATTGCAAATATCATTTGCTAAAATTACATGATATTCTTCAAGCATGGCACAAATCCTTCACAAATTGGTAGTTATTTATTTGAAGGAAAGAAATTGATTGTCTTATTCAATGGTGCCAACAAAGAACTTAGTGAGTTGGATAGAAATGTAGTCTTGATAGGATAGTGGGGGTTGTTGGATCCAAGTAGAGTGACAAAATTAAAGCATTAGATATAAGTTGCTGAGATGGTCCTCTAGTAAGTGGCGATACATCAAATTGAGAGACAAGCAATAGTAAAATCCTATTTGGACTTTTACAAAGCAAGCATCAATGATTTAAAAAAAAATAATGTTCTCATTTGAAAGATCACTATTAATGTGATCTAGAAAAGATAATTTGGCACTAAAGTATTTTTTAAGTGTATTAACATGTCCATTAATATGTTGACTATATTGATGCACATAGATCGAAGATTCTAGAACTTTAAGCTTCTCCATCATGCCACAAATTTTAACTACAAGGTTGACACTTGTCAATTTTTTGAGAGGCTTGAACTAAAGTTGTTGAGATTGCCAATAATATGGACTACAAGGCGATGGATGGGTGGAATAGTATCCTCCCTCTTGGCTATTTTGAAAACAAAGTTTCTTTTAAAATGTAATCGTTGGCCATAGTATAGATTGCTATTATTATTATTATTTGATTTTGTATTGTTTGTGCTATGAACCATCATACACACCAAAGTTGGTATAGTGGCTGCCTTAATAGGAGTTGGAGTTGCGGTTGTGAAGATGGCCAAAGTCTATTAAGAGACTAAGACATCACTATTTTTTTCTTTGGATTTTTAGACCTTTTTAGATAGTTCTTAACTAAGAATTTGAATCTCTAATTTGACTCAAGGAACAACCTGTTCAATAAACAATAGGTGAGGAGTAAGCTAAGTACTAAAATGGAAACGATTATATCTCCGATGAACAATTGAAAATCAGAGTTTCCTTTATCAATTTTACCAAGAACATTAATGCAAAGGTTATGGGAAAATCCGAAGGGTAAGAGCACGTACTAACATGCGCCACAGACAGCCCATTTGGCCTCAGGAACCCAAGCACACAATTCCGTTTCGTTGACACAGAATGTGGCCGAAATGGTCCATTATGGAGCCCGAAACCCTAAAATGAAACCCTAAATCAGCAGTTTCATAACATGCTTGCATCTCCTTGTTTGTAAATAGCATTGATATCGTCGTCGTTAACCTCTGCCTCATGGTCGAATGCGAATTAGACCCGCCTGTTACGCAATAGCATTTTGAGAAGAGGTACGAGCATGCCAGGTGTGCGTGTTTGCATTATTTCCACAACATATATCTATGGCCTTCACGCTATGCGCTTGCTGATTGGACTTCTACAGGGAAACAGATCACCACGCGAGAGAGAAAAGCGTTCGCTGAATCTGCAGACCTGACTTAGTCTGTCGTTGAATGTGATCGTGCAGATCCCTAGCTTCCTCCCTTCGTGAAGCCTATGATTGCCAGTGCTCACAGTTACCGTGCTTTGAGCAACTCTATTCTCCATTATTGGGTGACCGTAGCGCGATTTATAGAAGGAAGTTAGAGACGTGACCGGAAAACAGGCTCAGGGGACTCTACTCTCGATCTATAAGGTCTACAATAGGTCTCCAGTCGTCTGATGAGTCTGAATTATTGACCTTATTAACAGACCAGCTACAGAATCTGAAGTGCATCCAAGTTGTGCTCTGGAGGACAGAAAGGATATCCTATCACCAGATGCCCTTTACCAGCATGACGAGAGCACGAAGTATGAGAACACTACTGCGTTAAATTGGAACATGAATGCTGTTTTGTGACCCAGCTGCTTGTCTACCGCCGCAACTATCGTGATCAACCCAGCAAGACAGAGCTCCAGGTTTGAACTGACGATAACTTACTTGGTCATAGCTCGGTCAATAGAAATTACATGGGTTTTTGACCGCAGCTCCATTTCTGAACCCGGAAATTAGGCTTTCTGGGCTGCCATTCAGCATGACTGATCTGACGGTAACTGCCAGTTCTACCCAATCATTGGTTCATCATGGAGTGATTCGAAGGGAGGCTTTTGAGCTCATGTCAGTTGAAGGCGGACTAGAAAAATCGGCACTAAAGAGCACGAGTTTTTATTTCCTGGTACCTAAAGTCAACGCTTGAGACTAGAAATTCTAAACCGAAATGCGGTTTTCCAAAAAAGAAAAGAAAGGCTCCGTGGGGTTATATCTATGCTTTATATTCATCCCCAGATTTTAGCCCAAAGGGGTGTTTCTCCTCGGTCAAGTCGTGAGCACTGTTGAAGAACAAGCCCAAGTCCTGCCCAGAATAAACCACCTTGCCTGTGGAAGCAGTATCTTGCAGACCACAACGGTTGTGTCGAAGTTGATTCGGGGGAACCATGATCACATCGCTTTAAAAATTTGAACACAAGATTCTAGCAGTCAAGCTGTGTAGTCTGATTGCGGAATTTTCAACATTGCGAGATGACAAAATAACCTTCCATTTCGCCATTAATCAATACTTCCATTGCACGTTAGCAAATGGATCGAACCCAGGATTTCTTACGATCAGTGTTTTTCCCGTTATTTCCAGTGTTAGGTTACTCCACTGCATTTGACTACTGATGGAGCATTAGAATACAGTGTTGTCATCGTCATTTGGTTTTAGGTTAACCTTCAAATTCTTCAAGTAGCTGTTCATAGAAATTTGCAGGGGCTTGATGGTCTACAAAGCTGTTCTGTTGTGGTCCATTACAGAACAGCATCTATTTGCAAGAATGTTTCAGTGGAAGGAAGCACAAGTTTGTGGATCTTGGATCAGAAGGACAGCACACAGCCATTGGAAGCAAACGTGTGGGAATCTCAGAATCTCGAGTAGATGTAAGCGGTTAACGACTGCAAATGAGGATATGTGCTTTTCAATGCAACCTCTACAATGAGAGATTAACTTCACATGGATTCATAACTACAGCCTTCATTGGAAGCTTTTTGCTTCATGTTTGCTGCTGCTGATAATGAATGCTGGAATTGTAGAGTATATTATCACCATGCATTTCAGGACCAATAATAATACTGGCTGACAATAAACTATCGTGCGTCGGATTCAGCGTCAACAGCTTTGCAAAACCTCTAGGACAGGAATATTATTCCTAGTCACATTCTCAAAAAAATAAAAGTAAAATAAATAAATCGTCATAGCTTGCACACAGTGAGCCAGTAGACAATTCCGAAGCACCTCTGATCAAAGTACTATCGATAAACACTTAATGATCTCTTGAAGTCGTTTATACAAGTAACTGTATATAATTGCAATGTCTGAACCTAATCACTTCGACACCAATTACAACTGCTTAAAGCGAAATATGCACAGATCTCAGGGCTCGAATTTGAACCTTCCACGATAGTAGGAAGAAGAATGTAAGAGAATGGTGAGGAAATAGAAATGATACATCACGGTGCTTTTGCGGTGTCTATTCGGCAGCAAATGGAAGAGAAAAACGACTTCATGCTTGAGCTTCGTTGCATTCTAGGGGAATGAGGAGTCGACTTACGAGTCTGTCTTGGCGATGGCTTCGCAGAGGTACTTGACACTGGATTTGCGATGCGCTCACCCATATCCTTGCCGGTCCATTCGCCGTCGGAAAGGATGCTGTGGCAGGAGATGAATTGATCGTTCCAGTCCGGGCTGCGGCTACCAGTCGATAGGGCATCCTCGAACGGGGCGCTGGTACGAGCTGCGTCGGGAGAATTTGAGGCCGCTAGCTGAAGGTAAGCCGCCAGAGACGTAGAAACGGCTGCCACAGAGTGTGAGTCAGCTACTTCTCCCTCCAGTTCGGAGAAATCAAACTCGTGCAACCTGGAGGATTCCGCATTTCGGCAGCATCCAAGTAGCTCGAGGATCCCACAAGACGGCAAGTGGTTCCGTCTCCTGTCCGTAAAGACATGGTAATGTGTGTCTGGGTACATGGTGCGGAACGACGTGTCCATGGGTAAGCTGATAAGGCTGCCGAGGGTGATCCTCCGCGAATCTTTAAAAAACGAGGAGGCTGCTTCGGAAAGTCGTGAGTCTGTGTCGGAGTTTGACGACGCATCCACATCGGAGAAGAAAGGGAGCAAGAAGGTGGTCTGAAGGTTCATGAATTGCTGATGGAATGCAATAGGGGTTTGACAAGGCGCAAGCTGATCTTCGGGACCAGGCGTGTGGATGTCCATACACGTGGGAAGACCGAACGGCCATCCCAACGAGGAAACCGAAGCCGAAGACGAAGTCTCGGGAGAAGCGCTTTGCAAACCTCCCTGCATGGAATTACTCTTTTGCATCAATTCCTCCAGTGAACGAGTAGTTTTATCAATTCCGCAAATTCTTTTAGAATCTTCCTCAGTCAGTCCGCTGCTTAGTCTTAAGCCGTGCCTTCTAATTTATCAACCCAGTGGAAATAATTCTTCGCCAGCCATGGTACACACAAAGATTGACAAGGCCAATAGTCGCCCACCTGTGAGCAGATAATAGCTAGCAAAGCTTCGAACTTACAGCGACTTCACAACTTCTGCTCTTCAATCGAACGGCTTTCACAGTCCTCACAAAGACTGGTAAATTAGACAGAGAGCATCGGCCTAGGTGAAGAAACCAACGAGAACTAGGTGGGCTATGATCGAACAATCCAAAATTAACCACGTAACAGGCCCTGAGGTTATCTTAGACATTCCACGCTGGTTCCAGCTAGCTAAGCGTAAACAGCTACGCTACCGCTTCAAGCAGAAACATGCGCATTGCATCTCGAGTCGCTAATCAAGATAACCACCCGATACAGATAATAAACACTACTTGCTCCAAACAGACAAAAATGCCGTATGGTTGCACTCGGGCCGAGAAGAAACGAAAAGAAGAGAAGCAACGAGTAGCACAAAACTAACAACAACAAGAAAAGCAATCCGTGCCTTTTTTCTTGTGCAACGCCACCAGACCGCAATGGTGGCAACAAAAGCTTCCTCCGTGGAGAGCTCGCCCAGCAGGCAACGCCGCCACCTCTTGTCCAACCCAAGATGTCCACCCCGAACGAAAGATCGTTTCCTCTCCTCCACCACCACCACCGCCCACCGAAATTTCCCAACTCTCAAACAAAAACAAATGCTACAGATATCAAGCTACACGCAATACAACCAGAATCGTCATTCCACTTCCCCCCCGCTCCAAACACCAAGGTAAGCTCCTCGATCACAATCCCCGCAGCCGATTCTGTTCACCTCAAAAATCCATCGAGCACTCGTTTTTTCACGTGGACTGAAGCGAAGCAAAACAAAAAAATCAAAAAGCAATAAGCAATAAGGTGACGAGAGTCAAGAAATGCGAAGTCATTCAGTCAGTCAGTCAGTCAATCAGTCAGCAGAATGATGATGGCTCTGGTTATGCGCAGCAGCAGATGCGGCGTGCGAAAGTGGCAAAGATAAATTGCACTCTGCTCGCTCGCTCGCTCGCTCACCAGGGGAGACGACGCACTCCCCAGTAGTGATCTACCACAAGCCTGGTCAAGGAAGGACCACAAGATTGGCTCCTCGGGGAGTGCGACCCAGAGCGCACGCTCCGGTGCTCTTCTGTCCTTTGGCTATTTGCTCCTCGGGGCCCCGTTGACAGGGTCACCCTCGATTCATTCATCCACTCATTCCTGCATTCATCTATCTCATTTTCATTCATCGATCTCAGCCTACTTTTGATGTTGCCCCTGGAGAATTTGGCAATTATTAGGGAACGGCCTTTTGTCTTTAATCATTTGGGAAGCGCTTTGAGAAAGTAAAACACTCTTCATACCACAAATGCTTTGTGGGTCACGTTCACTAGAGTTCCCAACTTCAAACAAGCTTACTCTTTGTTTTTTGTTAGTTAGTTGGTTAGTTTATTTGTTAGTTTGTTTCCACTTGCATTAATAATAGTAATGAGTTGATTCACTAATATGATTGGATTTGGGATAAAGTGTGTGTTTGCAAATTTAGGCCCTACAGGACTTGTCTTGAAGTCCACTTCCTTATTTACCGTTTTGTGGCATTGTTTTTTAAACTTGGAATTTATTTTGTTTATTTTTACTGTCTAATTTTGGTATCCATTTGTGTGTTGATTTGTTTGCCTGTAGTGACGATGAGCTTTCATTGAGAAATTTTGTCATTACACTTGATGTGTATTATTCATGACAAAAAGTATAGAAATTAGAGTTATGGTCCAAGTTGGATGATGGATAGACCAACATTTATTACTATCCAATTCCCTATTGTGTAAGCAGAAAACATGACAGATACAGATGCTCTAAAAGTACTAGCCTTCAATATACATTGACTATTTGAATTTCCTCTAAAATTAAAATTAAAAATGTTAGATGTAAGCATAAGTAACTTATAGAAAAAAGTTGTTTAAGCTGTGGATTAGGGAATTCCGCCCACTTGATGATCCATGCCCACCTGACTTCTTGAAATCTCTGTGCTCAGGCATGACAACAATCCCTTAGAAAAGAAGTACCTAAAGCATCTCAACAGTATTTTGGGATAAATGCTTCTTTTCAGAAGATGTTGAAAATGAGCAGGTTAATGAATTTTAGAATTTGAGGCAATGATGTTATTGCTTGTAGGCATTATCAGTTAAATAAATAAAGTAAAAACATTAACAGTAAAAATTATTATAAAGTAATACTATTGATAGATTAAATTATGATGATTGTATTAAAGGGTTAGTTAGGTGTGAGTAGATTCTATTTGTTTGTGGAGAAAACTTTAGATAAGTATTCAGAGTAGCCAATATGTCAAGTTTATACCTCGTAGTGTGACATTTGGGAAGAATAAAAATTATACAAGAGTTTGATGTTAAACTTAAAGATACATCATATTGAAAAAAAGGTAGAATAACACCTTATATCTATCTATATATATATATATATATTTTGTTGTAAAAAATATGATATTTATTACTTCAATATAATATATATATATTTTTTAAGTAAAATTATTATGATAATTTTTTTCTTATGTTAATAAATGATTAGATAAGAACAAGTATTGACTTACAATTAAATTATTTATTTGTATTAAAAAAATTACATAACTAAAAAATACTAAAAATATTCCTAAGAAGAATCACAACTTTAAATTATAATTATATTAATGTAATAAAATAATTTTTTGATTTCTTTACATTATTAGTTATATTATATTTAGAAAGTTGCTAAAACAACAATTTTATATTATTGATGCAACACCCCACTTGGGTATCAGTACTTATTCTATAAGAATTCATGATATTTAAGAATTTACACTCTTAGGTAAATTGTGAGAAGTAGAGTTTTTTCTTGATAAATTAATGGAAGCTAGTAGATACATAATTAATACAACAATGGTTCTTATGATTAATTTATATAGTAGAAGAAATTCAGTTAAAAAACCAAAAGTTAGTTCAATTTATTCTAGAAGGAGGATCATTATTCTAGCTTACATATTTATAACACTATGATTAAGCTCTATGCAAAGAACTAAAAGATGTACTTGATTTGATTCTTAATATCAATTTTATATATAATAAAAAAAAAAAATATTAGCAAGCAAAAAATTTCAATTGTAGCAATGTAGTAATCTTCATAATCTAATCATGCACCTCACTAAAATACTCAAATACCACTCCTAATACAATCTTTGTTGCTAACTCCTAATTAAAGGCTTTTATAGTCACTATTATACACTATATTACTAGATCCTTGCTTTGTACCACTACACTTTTACAACTAATGCTCAAACTTTCTTGCTCACCACTCTTTGTGGCCAACATGACCCTACTCAATGTATTAATGGATTGTGCGACTATTGTGTATCTAATTACTATGGTAATAAAACCACACTTTATTGGTAATTTCACCACATTATCTATGTAAAATAATTCACAACCAACTTTACAAACAATCTTTATAAAACACACGAGTATTTAGCTAGTTATAAGATTCTTCTCCTGTAGGTATAAATTAACAAATATATCTAATACATATAAAGAACAAAAAGAAAAGAAGGTACAAGTGAAACAATAAATCTCCAAAATAAATAATCAATAACTTAAAAATAGATATATTTAAGAATAGATATATAAAATAGATATATAAATGACTTAAAAATATAAAAGATTGCAATAGATCATAATTCAATGCATTAAGATGACATCCACAAGAACATTGATAATTAGGCTTGTTTAGAGCACAATACTGCTAAGATGTCAATTCCATGAAAGTTGACTATATCTTTATTTTTTGATTTAGATCCAATTTAAGGTATATTTTATCTAATTAATTAAGAAGTATCTCAATTTTTAGAATATTTTCCTAGATGATATAGCTAGAAGGTAGTAAAAATAGAAGAAGAGGATTAAGATGCCTTTTTGGATAGAATTTTTTTTTTATAGAACACCATTGGTTGCAAGTTGTTCATGTAGTAGGTATTTGTATAGAATACCAAAATTTGGTAGTAAAATATTTCATATACTTGTCTTATTAATCTAGTGCTTCTACCAATGCATATACTTTTAGCAATATAAAACAAGTAATTTTTTGGACCTCTTGGTTACAAAATTTTTTACTTAAATAAATTTAAGTTTAGACTTTGTTATCTCCAATTTTTGATAAAATCTTTATTTTTTATGCTCCACATATATTATAATCTTATGTAAAATATCATGAAAGTATATTGTGATAAATTAAAGCTACTTTTTTAGAGCAACATGACTCCATTCTATCCTTAACATATTCATATTTCAAAAATACAAGTATTAAGAGGACCACACATTAGTAAATCTCTCCTTCCAAGTCAACTAAGTTATTAGTATATAATTAATGACAATGAGATATTTAATATAATTTTGTTAAAAATTTTTTAGTTGAATTTAAAAAATTAATTATATGACTATCTATAACTTGATTTCAATACTCCATAAAGGTTTTCCATTCATCTATAGAAAATTCTTACTTACAATTTATAAGAATATTTTTATTAATATATTAGACATAAAGAAGGTTTGTTGATATTGAAAAAAAATCGTATGAAAATATGATTTTTAGTTCTTTGTCAACTATTAATATAAGTAGTGCTATTTTATTATTAAAGAATGATTTAATCTTCTCTAATGCCAAGACATAGTCTGCATCTTTTTTATCCTTCAAAAACACAAAATATTATGAAAAAGAGAAATGGAGGAAATCACACCCACATCACAAAGGAATAGCATTCAAAATTTATTAGCCATGTATATGCAATCTATCAAGATAATATAAAGATATTTTTGTATAAGTTTTATTAAAAAGAGATGAATAAAAAAGAATTGAAATATTATTTCTTTTAATACAACAATAATCATATAAAAATCCAACTCTTTCATTTCATCTAGTAAAGATGCAATAAGTATATATCCTTATAACAACTAATAATACATAGCTATATATTTGTAAAAAAGATTTAAAGGCAATACCATGATACTAGACTTTTGCTAATGCATAATAATTAAAATTATTGCAAGTTTAGTCTTTTAAAGAAGAATCTATTGTATAATTTATTATATTTTAGAGAACAAACATCTTACAATGGCATGTGTAGATATGTTGGAAGGTCAATGATTGTGAGTAGAATTTCAAACAATAAGATGTTAATGACCAAATACATCAAACTTCTTTATATACAAATCAAATAAACAATTACAAAGGCATATGTATTGGTATTTTTATTTTTATTTTTTTCTTATATGTATACTAGCAACCACAATTGTACTTCAATTAAACTTAAGCATTAGTAATTGAGCATCTTTTTATGACATAATAATTCTAAGAAAAAAAAAATGACTAAATACTTTTAAAAAAATTAATCAATGTAATGTAGTAACATTTAGATGGAAGATGCATTGAGAATGAAGATTTCATATATATATATATATATATATATATATATATACAAGTGAAAAAAGAATAGAAGTTGATTTAACTAAGTGTCTTTAAATACCATAGATTAGTTATAAAAATATAGTTTTTTCCATCTTCATGAAAGAAAGTAACAATTACTTCTTTTTTCTTTCTTTTAAAAAACATTGACTATTGTCTCGGGGCATTATTTCTTGCACCAATCTCTATCTTTGTTTCAAAATCTTTAACATCTTAGATAAAAAATTAAGATTGACTCTTCTATTTTTTTGATACAAATTTATATACACAAACACTTAATCTAAAATACCTACATATCTAATGGATTTCTATTCCTATTCAAATCACAAAAAATGTTCATAAGTACAAGTATAAGTTTTTCCTATTTCATTCATAAATCATTTAGTTAGTATACAATATTTTCCAAAATAATTACACTCTGTCCCTTTTTTTAGTCCCTAAAAATCCTCTTCTAAAATCCTAGCCATCTTCCAAATCCTAATCTTTGCTATAGCTAGATCTTTATTCAATATAATTTTTATCCATCTTAGATCTTCATCCATTTTAATCTTCATCTATTATATCTTCATCTATTAAAATGTTCATTTAATCAATAAAATATTGTTATTATATTAAAAGTAATAACTAATCAAGATCTATC